AGAGTCAAAACCGTAAATCGCACCGCATGTGCGATTTGAAATTTTCAGAAACCCTAAACCGTACCGCGAAGGGTTTAAACCGCATTATGCGGTGTGGTGCGATGTAGTGCGGTTTGATGAATAGCTAAATAAAGAAATTTCACATGCATTAGACTAAATGTAATTAGTCTAATTATCCGTCTTAAGATCTTACATATACAAATTGTTTCTACTAGTAAAAGTAGCTACAAACTTTTTACAAAACAACATTAATTAATCAAAAAGCCACTAACAATTTTATAGATACTAACATCAACCAATAGTAGTAAAACACAAACAAAATAGTAGTTAGAATTCAACAAAACATATCTAAAAGTTGTCTAAAACAACAGAGAAAGTCATCCAAAAAACTACAGAAATCTTCCAGCAAAAAAGGATTCAATATGGCAAAGAGCATCCAACAAAAACCTGCAAAAATCATGCAACAAAAATCAAGAAAATAATGGTATTAGAAATAAGAGTACATAATTTTGTATAGTTTTAGAAGATTGTGTCAATCGTGTATTTTAATACCTTATTGTATTTTATGTACTATATATACCTAATGAATAATACATTATCATTAAGGTGAATTGATTGTAATCCTTATATGGTATCATATTTTCAATAGGGTTACCCACTCCTTCTTCTCTTCATCGATCTCATGGTCAGAACTTCTGAGTCTTCGCTTCATCTTGCTACCATTCTTCATATGATCACTATTAAATTATCTCCAACCAATTACCTGTTGTGGCGCAATCAGTTACTCCCTCTTCTTATCAAAAGCTCTCGGGTCATGTCCTTGGTACAACCCTCGCTCCAACAAAAACCCTCCGCGCCGAAGGTGCTAGTGTTTCGAACCATGCCTATGAAAAATGGCTCGAATATGATCAACGAGCCTATCTCATCATCCAAACCTCACTCACCGAAACCGCCATAGCAGAAACTCTAGGCGCATCCACTTCTCTTTAGGTATGGCAGAATCTTGAAAGAGCTTACCATCAAGATTCTCAAGAAAAAATTCAAAATCTCAAAGATTCTTTGAAACAACTCAAGCGTGGAACCTCTACTGTTGCTGACTATAGCTCGAAATTTCGAGCCCTTTGTGATCAGCTTTCGGCAATTGGGCACTTTGTGGATGACAATGACAAGAGTCATTGGTATCTATGTGGTCTCAGTTCTTCTTATGAGACGTTCTCTACCACATATCGAGCCATCACCCCTAAACCCTCTTTTCTCGATTTAATCTCCAAAGCAGAAGGGCGTGAGCTTTTTCTTGCCTCCCTTCAAGACTCCAGCCCCCCTGCCGTTTTTAATGTTCAACGAAGTCAGCCATCTTCTTCTTCTAATCGTGGTGGTTCTTCCAATGGGCGTGGCAGAGGTCGTGGTGTGTATCAAGGAGGTCGTGGTCGAGGTCATAGACCGCCTCACTGTCAACTCTATAGAACAAATGGGCACTATGCCAGTGCTTGTCCGGAATTATCATCTTATGCTTGACAGGTTCCTTCTCAATCAGCCCATCTTGTGCAATCTTTTCAGGCTCAATGTCATGTAAACGACTCCTCTCCAGATTGGTATGTGGACTCCGGAGCATCATCTCACATGACATCAAATCCCTCTTCTCTTGATTCGGTTTCTCAATACAACGATTCTGATCATGTGGTTTTTGGTAATGGTAATTTTTCTCACATCTCATATTGGTACTTCACAGTTATCTCCTCACTTAAAGCTTTCAGATGTACTTGTTGTTCCTAGCATTACTAAAAATCTCTTATCGATTAGCAAACTTACAAAAGATTCTCCTGTTGATGTTTTGTTTTCTAATCCTTTCTTCCAAATTCAGAACCGCAAAACAAAAGAAATTCTAGCAAAGGGAAAATGTGAGAATGGGCTTTACGTACTCAAGCATGGTCATCAAGTTTTTTTGGTTACTCTGCATTCTTCTAGATCTCGTGTTTCTTTTGAATTATGGCACACTAGACTAGGACATGCTTCTTTTGATACTTTGTCTTTATTAAATAAATCAGGTTGTTTTCCTGTTAGTTCCTTATTACCTAAACCTAGCATTTGTTCTTCTTGTCAGCTTTCTAAAAGCAAACGATTACCTTTTGGTGTTAACGACAAACGTGCTTTACATGTGCTTGAGTTAGTTCACTGTGACTTATGGGGACCTTCTCCTATTGATTCTAATGATGGCTATCGGTATTACTGTGTTTTTGTGGATGATATTTCACGGTTTTCTTGGTTCTATCCTTTAAAGCTCAAATCTGATTTTTATGATGTTTTTAGAGCTTTCTTAACCTTTGTACAAACACAGTTCTCCTGCAAATTAAAAGCTTTTCAAACAGATGGTGGTACCGAATTTATGAATCATCGAGTTCAGGATCTTCTTATTTCTAATGGGACACATCACCGGGTTTCTTGTCCTCATACACCGCAACAGAATGGTCGTGCAGAACGCAAGCACCGTCATCTTACCGAAACTGGTCTAGCAATGCTCTTTAATGCTAGTGCTCCTGCCTCATATTGGGTTGATTCCTTTAGCACCGACGCCTACATAATTAATCGAATTCCATCAAAATTACTCGACAACAAGAGCCCGTATGAACTTTTATATCATGCATCACCAAATTATTCCCTTTTGCGGACATTTGGCTGCCGTGTTTTCCCATACCTAAGGGACTATTCACAACACAATCTTGCTCCTAGAAGTTCACCATGTGTTTTTATCGGGTATGATTCTCATTACAAAGTTTATCGCTGTCTTGATCTAGCTTCAAATCGAGTGTATACCACTCGTCATGCAATTTTTGATGAGGCTGTTTTTCCATTTCGTGATACCTCACAATCATCAACATCATCTACACATGTTTTTGCAAAGTCACGGGACTACCCAATACCTCATATTACACCAGATATTCATTCATGCGTCGCATGCTCTTATGTTCCTAATTCGGCTCCTACAGTACAAGTGCAACCTCCTACTGATAATATTATTGAGCCTCCTGCCCATATTGATCCAGCAGCCCACGATGACCCAACTACTGGCCCTCCTTCGCCGGTCCAAAATTCTACACCAGCCCAACAAGGCCCCACGGCGCTGCTCCAACAACCTCAGCCCATCCTATGATAACTCGAGGCAAAGCTGGGATATTCAAACCCAAACATCGTGTCGATCTCTCGTATCTTGAGTCAAATCTGTTAATTCAAGCACTCTTTGCCACAAAAGAACCACGCGGATACAAGACGGCTGCCAAGGATCCTCGATGGTTATTAGCCATGGAAGATAAAATGACTGCTCTTCGAAATAACCACACTTGGGATTTAGTTCCCTGTCCTTCTGGTACAAATATTGTTGGCTCAAAATGGATTTATCGCACTAAATACAACTCTTATGGTTCTATTCAACGTTTTAAAGCTCGTTTAGTGGCGCAAGGATTTACTCAAATTCTGGGGTTAGATTACACGCATACTTTTAGTCCCGTTGTTAAAGCAGCTACAGTACGCATAGTTATCTCTCTTGCTGTCATGCACAAGTGGCCTCTTCACCAATTGGATGTCAACAACGCTTTTCTCAATGGTCAATTGCAGGATACAGTTTTCATGGAGCAACCTCCTGGTTTTTTTGATGCTCGTTTTCCCAATCATGTATGTCGTCTCAATAAAGCATTGTATGGGTTAAAGCAAGCTCCCAGGGCATGGTTTCAAAGATTGAGTTCTTTTCTCATTGGATTGGGTTTCATTTGCAGTCGTGCTGATCCATCTCTATTTGTTTTTAAAAAAGCAAACACAGATGCTTTACTTACTTGTCTACGTTGATGACATTATTTTGACCGAGAATGACATCTCCCTAATTTGCAAGTTTACCTCAAAACTTGATACTGAGTTTGCTATCAAGGATCTTGGTCTTCTAAACTATTTCCTAGGACTTGAAGTTTCTTACATGTCTGATGGCTCTTGTGTATTTCTCACCCAAGCTAAGTATGTACATGACATTCTTCAGCGTGCTGATCTACTTGACTCCAAGGCTGCCTCTACACCTCTTGCTACTTCTGATTATCTAGTTTCTCAAGGCACTTCTTTTAGTGATCCCACTTATTATCGTTCATTGGTAGGTGCTTTACAATACTTGACTATTACACGTCCGAATATTTCTTATGCTATTAATCAGGTGAGTCAATTTCTTCATGCACCTACATTGGATCATTTTCAAGCAGTCAAACGAATTCTTTGTTATGTTAAAGGCACTATTTCATTTGGTCTTCATTTTACGCAACCACGGTCTCCTTCTTTGCTTGGGTATTTTGATGCCGATTGGGCACGATGTATTGAGATACGTCGCTCCACGTATGGTTATTATATTTTCTTAGGTGGAAATCTAGTCTCTTGGAATGCTAAGAAACAACCTACTGTTTCTCGATCAAGCTTTGAATCTGAATACATGGCTATGGCAAATACTGCTGCAGAAATCATTTGGATTACTCATTTGCTTCGTGAGCTTCATGTACTTCCACTGGATCGTCCAACTCTTTTATGTGACAACAAAAGTGCACTTTTCTTAACTCAAAATCCCGTCTCTCACAAAAGAGCTAACATATAGATATTGACTACCACTTCATTCGCGAATTAGTCACTTCTGGGCAGCTATATACGCGTATTGTTCCAACTGCATTACAGCTTGCGGATATTTTCACCAAAAGTTTGCCTCGTCCTCTATTTGAAAGTTTTTGTGCCAAGCTACGTGTTGCTCCACCACCACTAAGCTTGAGAGGGGGGGGGGGGGTATTAGAAATAAGAGTACATAATTTTGTATAGTTTTAGAAGATTGTGTCAATCGTGTATTTTAATACCTTATTGTATTTTATGTACTATATATACCTAATGAATAATACAATATCATTAAGGTGAATTGATTGTAATCCTTATAAATGGTTTAAAAAAGAAATGTACTTTCACTAAAAAGGCATTTACATTGTCATCACCTATAATTGCTTACATGTTGCATATTTTAACAATCTATTCAAGATCCACAACTTCAGATACACTATCTACAACATAAAGAAATATTTAATAACTAAAAATTATAAATTGATAAAATTAAGTAAATATTTTATCTGAATCAACAGATTCATATGCTTCTATATCCTCCATTAGAGAAGACATATCTAAAGTTAAAGATGAAGATGTTAACCAATTTTGACAACATATCAGAGCTTGCACCATTGTAGGATCCAAAGAGCTTCGAAAGCAATCAAGCACCCTTCCTCCTATACTAAAAGCAAACTCAGAAGCTACTATTGAAACTTGAATGGCGAGAACATCACGAGCCATCATTGTCAAAACAGGATATTTAGATGCATACATTTTCCACCATTCCAGTATATCAAAATTTTATTTTTCCTCTCCCCATCACTTCGTTCTTCCAAGTACCTATCAAGCTCATTTGTCTTAACTAAAGCATCATCTTCCTCACATTCATTTTCAAAATCAATAGCAAACATGTTAAAATCATCATCATCATCAGAATCAACTACAATTGAACTTTTATCTGGAGCAAAAATAGATGGACCACATTGAGTGCTACTAACTTGGGGATTTTTTAGTTTAAATTCATCAGAATAATGACATAATAGATTTGACATAGAGTTGTTTACATACGCAACGATGGTTTCTATTTCCTTTGAACTATATAACTTCCTCAAACACAATTTCACAAATCTCATCTTGTATCAAGGATCAAGAACAACAACCACATAAAGAAGCACATTTTGTTTTTCAGTATAACCCCAATACTTGTCAAACTTGATCTTCATTTTAAAAGCCATATCCTTCAAGATTGACTGGTCACTATCACACAACTTCATAATTCTACCACATATAGTGCACATTTCATGAAAGTAAGAATTTGAAGTAACAAGTAAAGAGGCACTGAACTTGGGAGTAGCTTCATAAAATATTTTCAAAAACTTGCAAAAGATGGTACAATTCTCCCAATCTTTAGATGCCAGTGGTCCTTTTAAACTATTTCCATTTCTATCTTTATTAGTAAAATATTACATGTAAAATCTATCTTCTTCTTCAAACAACTTGAAAGCATCAGAATACTTTATTGCACGATCCAACATAAAATATGTTGAGTTCCAGCTTGTTGCCACATCCAAGCAAATAAAAGCCTTTTCTTCTTTACACATATTCTTCACAGACCTTTGGAATCTTCCTAATCTTTTTGGAGAGGCTTTAGCATATCTAACTGAATTATGAACAACAACAATAGAATCATTTACTTCTTTCAATCCGTCACCTACAACTAAGTTAAGAATATGTGCGGAACACCTCATATGCAGAAACTCACCATTACAAATCACAGTCTTCCATATTTGCAACCGTTTCTTGATGTGAACAATAGTAACATTATTAGAGGATGCATTATCAACTGTAATGGCAAATACCTTATCGATACCGCACCCTCTTAAGAATGTCGCAATTGCTTTGCCTATCGTGTCTCCTTTGTGATTAGGAATTTGACAAAAATTCAAAATCATTTTTCGCATTTTCCATTGATGGTCTATAAAATGTTCCATCAACACCATGTAACAAACATTTTGAATCGAAGTACATCAAGGAAACTCTTTGTGAATGTTTAATAAAGTAATCCTTTAATTTCTTCTTCTCATCACGATATAACTTCTTGATATCCCTTGAAACTGTGGTGCGTGATGATGTATCAAACTTGGGGTATGCGACACTGCAAAATAACTTAAAACCTTCTTTCTCTAAAACCTAAAAGATAAGTCATCAAGGATAATCATTTTAACACATGCAATCCTACAATCAGATTGACTAAATCCAACTGCTTTTAGATTAGTTCCTTTTACACTTTCATTCATACCCCCATCATCTTCTGGAAGATCAAAGTTTTTTGTTTTTTATCTTCCAATCTTTATGCATTATTTGGGACACTAATTAACGATATGATACCTAAGTGTACTAGTTCCATAACTTCGGTCACCACCACTATAAACTTTATTACAGTGAATGCATGACACCTTGGGAGCCGTTGGGTCTTCAGAATTTTTGGTAAAATGCTTCCAAACATCAAACTCTTTTTTTGATTTTTTTCTTAGGTCGTAAAGGAGATTTAGATCATCAAGGAGGTTTAGATGGCTTACTAGAATCAAACAGAAGTGTATTATCCTGGTCTTCCCTAGGAACTTGAACTGATGATGGTGAGTCAAACTCAAGTGGACTTTCCTTTATCTACAAAGAAAAATACAAAATGTAGTTAATAAACTAAAGACAAAATATTTGGAATTTCATGGTAAATTTAATGAAATTGAAGATTAAACAAATAAAAGATTTGGAATCGGGAATAAAAAAGCCATTGTATAAAAAATGAATGAGAAAGTGCGAATCGACACAAACAATCAAACGACAAATTAGAACAAACAACTTTAAATTACTTGTGGTCAACAACTTTAAATTACCTGTGGTTGTGCAATATGTAATCCTTGTTTACTCATGTGTTCCGTTTTGGTAATAAAACTTCAAATGGAGTAATCAAGAGAAGATCGAGCATAATTGAATGAAAAAGATGATGTATGCCTTTTTTGCCTTTATGATTTTTGCCTAATTAGAATGAATATGAGAATAGCTTCCTGTGTACGCTTCCATCTAAATATCTAGATAATAAGGTCTGTGCGGTGATTTCCATGTTTTAATTTACAAATGTATTTATGTTTTATTAAAATGTTGGACGGTTGAAAGGATTTTAAGATATATATATATATATATATATATATATATATATATATATATATATATATATATATATATATATATATATATATATATATATATATATATATATATATCATGTGGTGCGATGTTGTTTGTACCGTGATTTAGTAACTAAAAACTACAAACCGCACCGTATATTGCGGTTGACGAAAATCATAAACCGTACCGTGAAAATCAAAAATTTTGTTATGCGGTGCGGTGCGGGCGGTATATGCGTTTTTTGCGGTTTTATGCACACCCCTAATTAATATATTAGTTGGAAATAGATGGTTGATTTATTAATTTATTATGTCATTAATAAATTAATATGAGATCAATAATTAAACAATTGATTTGTTAATTTATAAGGTTAGCAAATTAATAAGAAATCATTTTGAATTAATGAATTATTAATCAGATTTAATCTGGAATTAATTTGGGATTAATTCGAATTACTTAAAGATACGATGGGTGAATTGTAATTATTCAATAGTTGAACAAAAAAAAAATTCTAGAACCATACAAGGGGTGAACAGTTTTTGGAGCTTCTTTAGGGTTTCCATAAGCCTCTTTGATTTATATAAAAAAATGATATAGATTGGGATTAAATCCATTCAAATCTTATTTGGTTCCTAAGTATCTAAACTATAAATAGAACCCTTTATGACCTTAATTTCGTTCATGTACTTCCCATAAACCTTAGGAACAAAATTTTCCTCTCTTCCTCTCTCTTTAATTGTTTGGTAGTTCTAGGATTTTGGTGCGAGCCATTAGAGATATCATACTTTTGGTGCTAGCTTTCTAAACTTTTCAAAGAAATGATTGAAGTGATTTGTTTAGTACAACATATCAAAGGTATGTGACCCTAATTCTTGTATTTTTTTTTTTTATTATATTAGGCTTTCAATTAGGGTTCATGTTAGTTTTGTTGTTGATTATATGTTGGATTCAAAGTGCAGGACATAGATTCTTTATAGATTCTTTAGGTTGTAAGCACATAATTTTTTTGTGAAAAATTAAATTACCTCCTATCTTTTATGCCTACAATTATTCCTACCTACTAAAATTATAACAAATAATCATTTAATTTAACTGTAATTAATATATTCCTAATATAGCTTTAATGAGTTAGTTAAAAAAATATTGAATGATGACACTTGTCATAATTTTATTGGGTAGGAACATTTATAAACATAAAAAATAGGAAGCAATTTAATTTCTCTTTTTTTTTTAACCTATAGACCCGTCAAAAATGCTATATAAGATTATGGCCAATTCCATTTTAATTAGTATAGACTATAGAGAACGAAGAGTTCGATTATACACATTGGGCCATAACGAAGTGTTTTTAATGGTTATTGGGCCATGACGAAGAATCTGATAATGTTATTAAGAATATTAGCCTAAACCTCTTGGAAGTCCAACAGCGAAGGGCTGTGCTTCCACTGTGACTCTGTGAACCTAAAAAAATAAGTTGAAGCAACTTGATAGCCAAGTCAAAGAATGGAGGAGAGATAGCAATGTGAGCATATTAAAGAGTAAATTTCTAAACTGAAGGAAACTGATGAAAACATTGATTGTGGATCAGGAAAATATCAACTTTTTATTGAGTGGCGCAACAGCTTAAAAAACATGCCCGATATTTACAATAAAAGAATAAAGTTAAATTGGATTGGAAAGGATGATAATTTCAATTTTTCATGGCATCTTAAATAAACCTCGTCTACAAATTGCCATCCTTGGCATTATGTGTAATGGATAATTTATTATATATATCCATCTTGGGTTGAAGTCGATATTTTTCAATTTTTATAGAGAAAAAATTCTGGCATTTTGAAGGGTGGTTTTTGCAAAGTCCACCGCATGCCATGTTATCTTATATGGCGCATTGCATGCATAACGTGCTCAACTAGAGAATTCAGGAACTAGGAATTAGTTGCTTTTTTTTTTCAATTGCCTAATGTGTATGCCCCTCAGCCAGCCCGGCCCAATACATAGACGAGTTGGGCTATGGCCTAGAACAGCAAAATGATAGGGGCATAAATTTGATCCAATAAATAATAATGTGTATAAATTTGGCCAAGTTCAAGTTCAATCCAAGAAATGGTCCAATATGATTATCAGTGTCCGAGGACGCAACAAATCATCATCTTAAAAGTGTGGGTGCGAAGCATCTTGAGAAACCAACCGAGTTCTTGAAAACAACACTGTCAAGATCTAGAAATCTACCGAGTTCTTGAAAACCACATTGTCAACATCCATAAGGGGCTTTTGATTTAAAATTAAAAATTATAATAAAGATAAGGGTTTTTTTCTTTTTTTCGTCCTGAGCCTTTCTTTAAAAATATTTAATTTTTCAGGACCAATCCTACCAACATCGAGAAGTAGAGCCTTTAATCGACTGATGGTGAGTAATTTACAATTTCTAAACTTCTCTCTTATACCTACTTGCTAATGCACCTGGCGAATTTCTTTAGTTTTCATTTTAATATGATATTTCTCTACTTCGATTACTAATAAGCATCCTGGTATTGTGATTTCTGAAGCATAGTCACCGAAAATCTAATAATTTTAATGTTTTCGATTTCTAAATTGTTTTTGGGTGAGTTTGATTTCTAAGCTTCCTAATTTCCGTCTTCTTTTCTTTATTCTCTTCTTCTCATTCTAATTTCTATGAGTTATGACTTCTGATTTGAGTTTGTTTTTTATCTGATTTCTGAATCACATGTCACAAAAAATCAAAAGAAGTTTGAAGTTTTTGATTTTTAAATTGTAGTTAAGTGAGTTTGATTTCCAAATTCTCATATATCCTATTTTGTATTATGTTTTCTTTTCTCTTATTCTCTACTTCTTATTCCAATTTACAAATTCTGACTGATAAGCTTCTTGTATTTCTAACTACTTGGTCCTTTTATACCTGATTTTTTTATGCTTCTTGTATTTCTGACTACTGTGTTCTTTTTTTTTTTTATCTTATTTTTCAATGATAGGTCACCACAAATCAAAATAAGTTTGTGGTTTTCGATTTTTAAATTGGGTTTGGGTTAGTTCGATTTCTGAATTCTCATATCTGTCATTATTTTTTTTCTTTGTGTTCATTTTTTTTTTGTTTTTTTGTTTTTTTTTTGTTTCAGGAATTAGACTATTTGATTTTTTTTCGATTGCTTTAGGGTTGAATCTGACTTTTAAGAGGCAGCAAAAGCCAGAAGCTATAAATTTATTTCATTATTGCTATTATTGTGTTCATTGATGCTCTTACATATGGATGTTCGCCGTTTTTTGCTAGATAAATTTGTATATTAGTGTATGCTAAAGGCGTTGCTGCTCAATTTTGGCCATCTGGGATGCATTGGTAAAGTTTGTAGATAATGGTTACAAGGTGAATTATTTTAAGTTGAGGTTACTTGGATGTTTGAAATTGAGGTTTTGTACTTGAATTTGTAATTGACAAAATTTGACTTCTATTTAGAGAAGTGGAGGTTAAAGTTTTCGTAGTGATTGAGATTAGCGAGCTGATATGGATTTTCAAGTTAAATGTTAAAGTCTTCGGTGGTGTTGTTCATCTAAGATATTGTTGGGCTAGTTTCACTCATGAAAGTTCAATGGTATTGATGGGTTGCTCATGAAAGTATATTGCTATTGCTCGTGAAAATCTTTATAGTATTCTCCATCTAAAGCTCAAGTTTTGTGGTTGTTCTAGTTTCTTACTTGCTCAACATGTTAAAGTCATTTAATGTATTTTGATGTTGTGATACGGTGTAGTTAACATTTTTTTATTTTAGTAACTATTATTTTATAGACTGTTTATTGTTTTTTGTAATATTAAAATGATCTTGTTAAAAAAAATTCATGTCACGAATTGTACACAATAAATAAAATTAAAAATTATTTTCCGGCATTATTTAATCATCTCGCCTAGGGCATTAACCTCAGCCCAAAACAACTTGATTAAAATTTGGGCCTAAATAATAAAACAGATATGTATATATGCAATTTATCTTTTTTGTTTTACAAAAATTGGTAGCTTATAAAATTAAAAATTAAGAGTAATTTACACGAATCGTCCCTCGTGTAGGTGCCAAAAAGCACATTTAGTCCATATTTTCAAAAATTAACTCGGACCGTCCCTCATCCGGATGAAACTTGCACGTTTCATCCCTCGTTAGTTTTAATCGACACGCTTCATCCCTTCCCAGACATGAAAAGACTATAATGCCTTTGTACATTATTATTTTTAATTAATTTATTATTTAACTATTATTTATATCTTTTAAAATAAAGATGGTACCACCTAGACACCTACCACCCTTGGCCTTCGTTCATGTTCCAGATCTACTTTTCTTTGATTGAATACTTACAAACAATTTCACAGCATGTATAGCAAGATCGAGCACTTTTTTTGGATCATCATCGGAGGAATTGATTCACAACCCTATTTCCCCAAATCTGGCATTGTGTCCCCCCAAAATGTGTTTCAAATCTCTAAACCTGATTTTCAAACACATGACGAGTTCCAGATCTGGTTTTTTCCGACTGGATAGTGGATACTGTCAGATAATTTGATCGCACGTATAGCGGAATCGAATGTCTTTTTTGGATCATCACTGTCACAATTAGGATTTTTTGTGCCTTGTAACCAACACTTAAACCAATTTATGAATCAAAAACATAAGAGCATGTATGATGCATACTCTATGTCATCAAAATTTCAATCAAACACCCCATGCAAGCAATTCAAATAGTCATTAAGCAATTGGAAACCCTAGAAGTTCTTGTTTAAGTCCATTTTGGACTAGGACTTCCTTATTGGGCCCAATGGACCAATAAGCTTCCAATTTGGCAATCTTGGGCTTAGAACTCTTAAATGGGCTCTAATTGGACCCACTTCCATTTAATTCAATATTTTGG